GTTGTTAATAATTGTGAAATATAACTGTATTTGAAAATGTTTTATCTCTCGGTATTTTATTTTATGTTAAGTTGGTTGGATGGCAATAAGATACAATCTCTTTATGAAATTAATTTGCGAAATTTTCCATCGTTTCAATATCTGTAAGTCATATTGTAGTACATCGTAATGGAACTTGTAATACCATTTACCGCAACTGAAATTATTTTAGCTCCTGTCTTATTAGTAGCATATAAATACAGTCAAAGTTGATTAAATGCATGAAATTAGCTACAAAATCAGTTATCGAACGAGACCAAAATGTTTAAGAAATCTAGACAGTTTACTGCTACGGTAACCTACAGAGTGCAGACCTAAAATAACTCTTTAAAGTTGTTATTTTAGTAAAGTATTCTGTCACATTTTCCTAAATTACAGTGGTTTATCAAGAAACTCATTATCAGATGCAGAAAACACACACAATAGTTGGGTTTTAACCTCAAGTCGAATCCTTTACGTGTAAGTTAATTATATTTGCAAATTTCTTGTATAACAAGCCAATCACAATGATTGGCGAATCTAATAATTATCGGTGTTCTTAACACGGATTTCATTTGATGTTTAACCCCATTCTTTAATATAGTGATTTGTCAAATAATGCTTTAAACCAAATGCTATATTTAGTTGGAATCGAACACGATCAAATTAAGATGTTGTAAGTATCGTACTCGTATTTTTCACTAATTGAAATTACAGTATATTTTGATTATGTCGATAAAGACTCTTACGAAATTGGCAATTACAGCCTTAAAAAACGATTTAAAAGAACTATCGTACTGTATTTAATTAATATTGTGAAATTTAAGTCAGTTCATTAAGATAGGCACTTTAATTTATCATGGTTACATATAGAAATGTAATTAGACAGATTTTTAATTATTCATATAAAGTATATGCCTTGTAGTAATTCATAGTTGCTGATATTAAGCAGATAAATTATCACTACTACTAAATGTAGTGAAGTCTTTAATAATCAATATATGTTTATGGCAATTTACCGCTTTTTTTCGTATAGCCTCCTATTTCCAACTTAAATTTCTATAATTTATTAATAATTAAGTACGATTTAATTTTATATTTACACAGAAATTTGTCTGGGAATTACCTTACTTCTGAGTCGCAAATCGACTTGCATCGATATAAATCGCTGGTTCAGCTGTAAGATTTTACGATCACTATCAAATTTATAATTACGACAAAGGACTTCATGAATGATCTAACTAAAATAAATTTTTAATGCATACTATAGAGATTTATCTAATAACAGAATTAGTGAGATGACAGTTTCTTGGTTTGGTGGTTTACCAACTTTCTTGAGGCCATTAGCAAGCTTGTACGCTAGCTAAATCACACTAGTATAGCTGACGTGTAGAACTTCAATCAATAATAGTCCTTTGACTCTTTTTTAACAACGTAAAATTAAAATGCTGTTAATATTACGATTTCCATAGATACATCAATAACAATCATTTGGAACATATTCATACTTCGGCCTTTCAAGCATTGCAAAATCTTTCAACTTTAATGCTGGACTTTAATTCTTTAAGCGATTTAACATTCCTGTCCAAATTGAACAATTTACACACACTGTATGATTTTATATCATATACTTTCGTAGCATTAAATTAAAAATAATCATCTCTGAAGTTAATCACAATAAAATTAAGTTCTAGCTATTCTAATATAAATTCTTTGTTCATTTTAAACAAAGTTATCTCTAATTCAACAGTTCTATTCGCAATAATTATCTATCAAGTATAAAATTGGAATCATCCTGGAATTTTTCTAAATTGAAAATACTGTTAGTATACAACCTTTGTTTACCTTACAAGAATGTTACGATTACAATGGTAAAAAGTCTAAGGTAGCATATTCTATTCATAAATAATGTGTTTAGGAATTTAGCTAACAATTACATCGACACTCTTTACAATGGCACATTTGCACCTGCTACAAACCTAACGATTTTGTAAGTTTCAACTGTATGGCGAAGTTTTTATAACAAATACGATAGTAATTTACTTATCATCCGAGGCTATTCTATGTTTCAATAAATTACGTAGTAATAAATCGGTAATATTTTGGATACGATTCTAGACATTGTTACAGGTGAAAGTTATTGGAATTGCGTATTAATATAAATAATTACGTCGATATTAATATTAGAACCCTATCAGGAAATCTTATTCACTCCATTTCTGAATTCGCTTTCAAAGATCTAACAAAATTAACGGAATTGTAAGTTGATCTGATAGTTCTATGTCTTAATTTAAAGTTATTGCTTGTTTGCGAGATCTTAAAGTAATGAAAATTATAGCTAAAGGCAATAATTTCGATTTTCCCGAAAGTAAATTCTACGTGATTTTTTAGGGCTAGCTGGTATAATCTGTATTGCATAATTGTTACCGTAGTGATTAACTTGTTTAATCACTATAACTAATCAATTTATGAAATTCAAACATTGTCCAATTTGATTTACTTTAGTAATATTTAAAAAATATTTGATGTAATATTACTCATTGCCTATAATTAATGCAGCAATCTATTTGTATATGCTATGCTGTCTTGCTACTTGATTGAATACAATTGCTCTTAAAATTTGAAAGGAAAAGTTATAAATCTGTTGATGCAAACTATTCTGTGATTATCTTCGAATAGAAGCTCTTTCATGCTTTGATCTTCAATCTCTACTTTAGATATTTAGCAAACAATCGACTCAAAAATATCGAAAGGTTCCTACGAAATGATTTTAGATGTTTGAATACGCTGTAAGTTGATTTAGTTAGGACTGATGGTCACATATAATTGTTTCGGATCGATTAGTTATTGTTGAAGAAAGTTTAGTTACTTTAATAGTGTTCTATGTCTTTAACTTCGTTTTGTTTAAAAGCTAACTATTATTCAGATTTCAGTTTAGTTGCTTTCATTTCTTTAATTGTCGAATTTGAATGTAGCTGTTTGATTATAATTATGTTATTAATATTCTGCATACAGCAACTTTAGTACTTCATACCTATCGGTTAGTCTTTATTTTCTACATTCAAATTCCGATTTTAGATTAAGCAATAGTAATCAATTTTAATATTACTTTTACTATTACTTGTCTTGGAGGTTATAAGATGTATAATTTTGAAACTATTATTATTAGTGATGTTTCTTCAAATCAGATCCAGTTTATTTCGTCAGAGGCTATGCATAATTTGCCGCAACTTCAAAGATTGTAAGTAAAGTCTTAGATAATCAAACTACTAAATAGATCATATTAATAAGGAATTCTGGTTTAATGTTACTCTTACAACACAATTTGTTACTAGCGAGTAACGTAACACTTAATATCTTACCTATAATCTCCCGGTTTACAGATTATTACCTAGTTGTTTTAAGTGTCTTTAAAAATTTACTGTAACATTGAGCAGATATACGCTTACGTCTACTTCGAATTAATATTCAGATTCAAGCAAGTCACATTTTAAGTAAAATACAGATATAAAATTGTTATGTATACTATATGTGAACTTAAGGTATTACTCGTAATTGATATCAGTATTCAAGCATTTTATCAATGAGATATTAAACTGAAAGCTATTACTTTAATCCTAGAATTCTAGATCATAATCTATTGACTGCAATACCATCTAGCGCTATTGGAAAGCTGATCAGTCTGGCACTAATGTAGGTGTTAATATCATAGCATAATAGATTTCATATAATATCGTTATATTGAAATATACATGTCTGTGTGATACGGCTGCTTATAGTATAGTAATGTTTATAATATTTGTAACGAATTATTTACAGATCTATCAATAATAATCGGTTGAACAATCTAACATGTAAAGGCTTTTCCAAGAGTATAGTTGAAATGTAAGTCATTCCACTTATTATTAATTAATTCTTAATTTAGGCTTCAATTAGTGAGAAAAACCAAAATTACGAAGATCTTTGATCTTCAATGTAAAGAATGTAACTTTAATATTAATTTAAGGTCTTAGATTCATATTGTAACTTTGGAGATTTTTAAAAGTAACTTTACAGTAACTTAGAGATACTTACCTTAGAAGATATAGATTACTATAGAAATGCAGTTTATTTAGAGTAGATATCAGAATAAGATTTTATACTTTTAGGAAGCATATTTTGATTTGAAACTGAAATGGACCTGCTAGACTATTTACAGTATATAAATATATGTACGTTTGAATACTTCAGTAATTTTATAATTTTCGGCATCATTTCACTAGTACAGCATATCCGTATATTCGTATGAGATACGTTTGATAAATATAGCCACCAATAATACACATAATGCTAGTATCCCAGAAATTTTATAGAATATTTTCCACAAATTCTTTATACTACATCCATTAGTTCTTTATATGTAGTATAATCTAAACTGCTAAACGTTACTACTATGTAATTACTTATATACCACTAGTATATCTAACAATTAAAGTTTGGGATTATTTATAATTCTATCCACATTTTTGATCTACTAATTGTAAAGGCAAGTTAGCCATAACCAGATTGAAAGTATTGATGCAAGCTGTAATGAAACATTCAAAAGATTAAGGAAAATGTATGAACACAATTACTTACTAATTATATTCTATCCTTATCACTTAAAATTTGTGGAAATTTGAAAAAGTGATAGTTTTGTATTAAATCGGATGCATCAAGATTTATTTAACTGATCTTTCAATTTGCCGTGGTTTTAGAGACGTTAGTTTTAATAAAATGGAAGCTCGTGGTATTAACATATATGATCAAATACTAAGCAAACTGGCGGCATACCCTAGAGTTGTGTGAGTAGTTTCCATTAAATCCAAGTAAATTATTTAAGTCGTGCTACGTGACTATCCTGGTGTATGCATTCGTTACATGGTAAATTTTTTAATCTTTATAGAATTAAGTAGTAGAACGTAAAATTTGTATTTACATCGGCGTGCGTAAGCTCGATGTGAGCATACTTCCCTTGCCCTTCCTCTTTTACAGTTTCACTAACAGAATATTGTTACAGTGTTATACACGGTAATATCGAGATTATAGTAGAAACATCTATGTTAGGATGATTTTGTTGATTTACTCTTATATGAAGAGTCTCTAATTTAGATATGTGATATTTAAATATAGCATTAACTTTTATGGTGATATATACAGCCTACTGAAATTAGCAGTTTAATTAGGGAATCGAGAATAATCTTCTTACAATTCAAATCACTGTGATTTGTAATTTACTTATGGTACATTATAGATTATCGTAGAAATGTTCCGTGATAGGACATATTGTAATCTGACAATTTTGTATTAATCATTCGATGCGTATGTTCGTAAATACTATTGTTTCATTATGTTGCAGTAGATAAAATTAGCTTTTGATTCATTATCAGGTTTCAACGTTAACATTACTCACTAGGATGTCTTTGCTATTGTAAAAGAGTATACAAATGCGATAAATCGTATAATAAAATTAGCTCTTATGATTGGTGTTTAACGTAAGATACGAGGCGTCTAAGTCTTTTTGAGTCTACTAGTATAGGAAAAGTGTTCATGAAAGAGTACATACTGCTCCCTGATACATGGTTCAATGAATCGACTGATTAATCGTGCATTATGTTATCTTGTTGCAAAGCTGTTTTGTAACAAATATCCATAATTATTTTCTAAATAAAGGTTACTTTTTTTCTTAGAAATATTGCTGGAAATGACCTTCATGACATTCCAGTCGATTATTTCAGATTGAATTTATTTCTGCGATCCATGTGAGGATAGCTCGTTACTTAATTGACGGATATTTACAATTCATAATCTTACTTGTGTCATCTTTCACATAATGTTATACTTCATAAAGCAGTTGTAACTTATTAAATCTATAATTTCTTTTCGCGTAATCTTGCACCGATTCATCTCTTATTCCGAAATTTTAGTGATATCAGCTACAATCCATTAACCTTAGAGAAAATAGTCCAAATCGTTCAAGCATTATTCATCTCGCAAGACTGTCTCGAAAATTCGCAATTATTCCAATGCGGATACTCTATGTAATGTTTCGTTATTATTACATTCATAGCAGAATTTTACAGATCAAAAATATTTTAAATCAACCTTGTCTTTCAACTGTAGCAAACTTGCCGGCATCAATCTTACAATGATTCCAAATTCCATTTTTTCACACATTAATGGCTACATTTCAGAATTGTAAGTATGTCTTCAAGCCCTATATTTGTACGTATTTCACTGACCAGTTGAAACTATAATGATTAGTGCGATAATTTTCTGGGTAGTATCATTTTTGCAATTAAAATCGAAGAAAGTTCTTTACAACATTTTACGTGATAGAGAATATACCGCAGCTGGTTCGATATGTTATTTGATGTATTATAAACAATCCAGATAGTGAGATTATTAAAATAAAATTTAAAATGCTACAATTTACAAGTCATAAAAGTATATCATCGTGATCTCCAATAGAATGGATTTATGGCTTTATGTTAGTTTTAAGATTAGAGTAATCTTCGTAAATGCAATTAGGTAAATTAATTATGGCTACATCGATGAAATTAAGACAAAAAATTATTGTTAAACTCTATGAATAGATTATTTGTGATAATTTAATTGATGGATAGAAATATTATTATCTACATTAGGAACCTTAACGACAATAATTTAACCTCTATGGATGGATCGGATATCTTCCAAAACTATGATGATAACCTAAAAGAACTGTAATAATAAGTTTGAAATAGATTAAAGTTCTTATCCTCTAATAGTATTTCATGAGAACTTTTAAAATTTTTTAATTTTGCAAGACAACTAGCTAACAATAATATCAAGAATTTTACGAATTATAAGCGTGTGGAATTTCGAAGTTTGCATACTTTGTAAGATTTTCTAAAATGAATAGGTTTAAATTGTAACTAAAGCTACAAAAATACAACTTTTGCAATGCTTGTTTATTTATTAATAATTTAATCCATTTAATTGATAAGCATTGATCTAAAATATGCATAAGGTGTCCTATATACGCGTATATTTTATTTTATTATATTACTTCACTAATTTTATTAACTCATTTGAAATGTTAATTAACTATTATTTGATCTTTTCATAGGAATATTTCCGATAATTTGATAACAACCGATCTGTTAATGGAAGTTTTATCAATTTGCCCAAATTTAAACCAACTGTAAATCTATTAAGATATATCTTTAAAATTTAAATAATACGCTCAGAGTGATACCTTATTTGAAAGATTCTTATAAAAACCGCAAATATTGACTTTTAACTGATTTCGTTATGTTGATAATATTCTAGTTACGTCAGTAATAATAATATTAGAACGTTAAAGGATCGATTTTTTGAACAAGTACCACATTTGCAATTATTGTAAGTCATAAATTAAAACTTGTTATGCTTGATTTGCTTCAATTATTATGGCAAAAGTTTGTTAATATTTGCAATAACGTACAGTAGCTGGCATCCTCATTGCTATTTTATTAAATTAATGATTAATTTTTATAGATCTATCGCAAACAATCCCTTACTAAATATTTCATCGGAATCGTTTTTTGGTCCAGCTCAACTCAGTAGCATGTAAGGCAAAGTACTCACTTTGGCTATATTTCCTTTAAATTTAGAAAATTTAACCAATGATATATTATTTCGAAAGATTTACGATAATTCAAAAGGCAACAGCTTAAGATTAGAAGGCAGCAAAAGTAAAATTTTTCGGCTGAGTACCCTATAATATAAACTGACTGACATATGTGTTATAGTAATCAATACCACAGTTCGATATTCGTATTATTACTACAAACGAATGATACCGCTTTAAGGTTGCATTTATTCTTAGACAGAATATGATTACAGTATCATGAATTTAAAGACCACAAATATGAGTAAAGTATACTCGTATACTGTTATTCTGAAGGCATATTCGATCTTCTAAAAGAATTACATAATTTTATTTATAACGGAAATAATATTACATCATAGATTGAGGTAGACCATTAAAAGTCTCGTCTTACGTGATGATAATAAATGAACTTATGAATTTTTAATTGCTAGATTTTGTAATATTGATATCTATTTAAGAGCAGTGAATTGATGATTGGCTTTATATCATTTATGCATTAATTGTTTAGTACCGAACTTCCTTTCACTATCCTTGACTGTCAATAGCCCGAATTTTCTTAGTTTAACTGCATATTATTATTATGTGGCATAAATCAGCATAGATTTCTTATAATATTGTTTTCATTGGGTACTTTAATACGAGCCAATCCGATATGCTCTGTCGGCTTAAAGCTAACTAATTCTAAGGGTGTTAATTGAGTACAAATACGGTACTATTTCTGCAATTTCTTTATTAAGTACGCCTAAATGATATTTTCTTCGTACCAACTTTCAATTTCTTTGTAGATTTACAGATTTCACTGATCGATAACAATTTATTATTCACATTTTATGCTAATAGATTTTCTACCAGGGATTATCTTTGCTGCATTGTACCTGCGAAAGTTACACATTGTATACCATTACCTGATCAAGATTCTCTATCGACATGCAATAATATCTTACCTCATTTTACTTTGCAATTATTCGTTTGGATTATTGGTATTGCAGCATTAATTGGTAGTATTATGGTCCTGATACGTAATCATTGCTTTTATAGCAATCGCAGTAACCGAAAACGTGTTCCCGTTTTGTTAATATCAAATCTAGCGGTAGTCGATTTACTTATGGCATTATACTTATTAATAATCGCTATTGCTGATCAGTATTACCGGGGATTTTATGGCTCACGAACAGAAAAGTGGTTAACTAGTATTCCGTGCTACTTTGCTTGTTTCTTAGTATCATTATCAAGTTTAATGTCAGTTTACACCATCGGTTTCATTTGTCTTGATCGTTATATTCATATTGGTGTGCCATTCGCTCAAAAATTTTTAACAATGCAAACAGCTCAAATAGCTTTAGGTATCGGCTGGCTATTTAGCATTATATTTGTCATTATTCCAGTTGCTAACAGTGTGGGCAAGTACGGTGATCAACGCATTTATAAATACAGCAGTGTGTGTGTACCAAGTAATGTAGAGAATTTAAACTATCGGAAATGGTTAGCAACATTCACTTTGTTAACCTTAATCATATGGATTATGACTGCTACCATTTATATTTTGTTCTTGATATCATTGAAAACTTCCAGAAAGTTATCTAATCGGAATATTGATCGAGGAGAGAAACGTTTAACATTGCGAATTTTATTAATTGTAGTAACAAATTTTTCATCATGGATGCCATATTATATCTTAATAGTTCAATTTCTTTGGACCGGATGGTTTAATATTTATGCATTACAATTTATTGCTATCTTTGCATTACCTCTTAACGCGGCACTGAACCCATACCTATATACATTTACTAATCCAGCTGTGACATACTGCTATCCTTGGCTACAATCTAAATTTAGGCGATTTCTACGACCATTAGTTACCGCTATAGGCCATATTTTTTCACGTAATCATAAATCTAAAATGTCATCAAGCACAGAAGTTAAATTATCGTCAAAGGTAATTTTTCAATCTTCCGGCATCTATCAAACCAATCAGATAGAAACTACCACTACTTTTACGACTGCAACTGTAGCTAATGATTTATAGTTATATTAGTAAACTATAATAGCTAAATAGCAAAGAAAATTTATTTTGTAGCACACGATTACCCAATAATCCAATGCATGCTATCAAATAAAGCAGATTAATTTTATACTTTGCTTCGAATATCTGTATGCTAGTAGGACTCTCATGTATTCAATGTCTTTACTACTTATTGCTTGTTATATGTTAATGATATATAAATAATAAAATTCAACAGTTTATTCTTGACATAAGCTAAAAGTGAAGCATTCAGAGTTCGGTTAAGAAATGATTTAAAGAATTGCTGCACTTAAATTAGGATGATTTCCAAAACTCTACTCAAATTTGTAGACCTTAGTCATATTAGAAAACACTAATCAATTATTTTAAAATTATATAAGTGAATTATATCATAGTATGCAAGTTACAGATACTATAATGCGTAACTATGGTATGTTGAAATTACTAAACTCTACACACTATAATCGTCATAGTGACCATCGTTGGACTCTCATGTAGCAATGTGCGTAATGTATAAAGTTATGATTACGATCTTAGTATAGCTTTATGGATTATTCTACATATAATTAAAACGACATTATATAGTTACGCATCTTGTATTGCATACAATAGCCATACTAATTTTTGTTGTTATTAGTTAACATTAAACCTTTCATAGCTGTGGCACTCTGATAAAGCTATGCATCATTTGATAATTGGGGTATTTTCTACGTAATATAATGCACGTCTTGATTACGATTACTTATTGTAACTATAACTCAAATATAGATCGTATCTGTGCAGCAATATCATTATAGTTATATGCAGTAGGCCTACCGTGTATATAAATTGATAGACTTGTATAGCAATCTGGCGCGTAATTAGTACATTTCGGTTAGCATTACTAAATGTCCTTTCAGTTATTTTCTCGTATAGAGATATATAATGAATCATTCAATAGTTCCTCAAATGCGTATTGCCATAAAACATTTTAATCATTACTTTTACAGTAAATATAACCGTTTAATGTATCAATCATCAATTCTTCAATATAGACAAACTATCTATTGCTGTGAACAGAAAATTATCGATAAGATATATTGCTATATAATGACGCTATCATCGTTTATGCTACACATACAACTGTGCGATATAATAAATATATCATCATCAATTTTTCAATACACACTGCTATAGAAAATTACCGATAAGACATGTTGCTATGTAATGACTCAATCATCATTTATGCTACACATAAAACTGTGCGATATAAGATATCATCATCAATTTTGCAATACACTTTGCTATCTAGTTTCGGAACCAGATCTTCCCTAATATGCTCTGCTGTATATAGTATTTCAATCATCGCTTGACTAATGCATACAACTAAAGTATATAGTGCCTCAGTCAACATTTCTCCAATGGATGTTGCTATGTAGTATCTCAATCATCACTTCTGTCGTCTATACTACTGTACAATAAATGTAGCTATCTAGTGTCGCAGCTACAGTAATGATACCGTACTATATATAGTGTTTTAGTCTTCGATGATTTTTGAATTGATGCAGGGATATTGCACACATATAATGTTTCAATCATCACTCCTGCTACTTTTGAAGATACATGCCACAAAATAGCTTTGCAACAAGATAACGTAATGTACGATCAATAAGTCAATTCCTTGAACCACATATCAAGGAACGATATCCGCAATATCAGAAACACTTTTTGCTTTACTAGCAGACTACACAAAGACTTAGACGCCTCGTATTTTACGTTAAACACTAGTTGGAGAATCCACTTTATTACACTATATACTGCATTTATATACTACTCCTCAATAGTTCATGAGTCGTAGTTAATACAATTAACATTGGAATCATTTACTGAATTAGGTATTAATTTTATTTTAGCTACTGCTCCCCTAATGCAGACAGCAGTATTTACAAACGTAGACATGTGATGACTAATACAGAATAGTCAGATTACGATATGTCCTATCACGGACCATTTCCATGATAATTTACAATCTACCGTAAGTAAATTACAATCACAATGATTCGAACTGTAAGTAGATAATTTGCATTCCCTATTATAACTATTAATTCAGTATGTGTATAAGTGTCACTGTCATAAAAAGTCAGTGCTATATTAAAACACAGTATATCCAAATTAGAAGTTAACTAAATAAGGATAGTCTAACAGGATTATCCTAACATAGATATTTCTACTCTAATACAGTATATAACACTGTAACAATACAGTATACGTATAATTTATCAATCATCAACTCTCAATTCCTTTATAGAGTATAATATTATATATGCGCAATAGCAATCATCTCGACTCTGATACGTTTAACTATTTATTGTAGCAAATTCAGCGCTTCTCTTATTGATACGCTATCATTGTCGCATTTTATGATTATTCTTAATTCGATATAGCTGTAGCTGTTCCCTACATTATATTGCAGTCATCTTATTCCGTATGAATAATTAACCAATTATAATTGTTAGTAATCTTCTTATTAAGCTGGATTAATTTTCGAAAAGTAGCCAGAGATTGAACGTTGCTTACTTTGTGCGCTCTCTATTTATCCATGTATTCGTACTACAGGATCATATTCAATCTATTATTATTAGTATTATTGGAACGATTCATAATATAATTGTAATGGAAAGTGTAAAGACTAATCAGAATCTGTATGTTCTTGAAACTGCAAGCTGTAAAATCACCTCAATTTTATTCTCTAAGCTGTTCATAGACAGTAGATATTTATGATTAAAAATATATGCCCCGTTTTCATATTTATCGTGAAAGCGTGCGAACGCATGAAGTTTATGTTGTTACAATGTATAAATTTATTATTATCGTTATTAATTTTATACATACATATATACAAAACCAGCTTGATGTTACTGCAAATAAGCGCCATATAACCTTGTACACCATGGATACGAAAATGCTGCTATGTCAAAAACAGCTAATAAAGTTACAACAACCTTTAGAATGTTCATACCATTTACGTGCTTTGAATAAAATAATGAAACGGATGTATATTTTTAAGAAAGTCTTACTACAAATCTTATATTTAAAATATTACAAAAATTAAACTAATTACATTATCTTTACAATAGAAACATCTATCCTGCATATCAAAAATACTGCATGAAACCGGGTAATAAGATTACATATGTATGAATATAGAGTGAGACCCTATATTACGATATGTGTATTATATATATATACAATTTAAATATCTTGTATGAAAATAGGAAAATATTTTTCACTTTATACCGTGTAATTTGATGCATATTATGATGCCGTCACTACTTATAAGAAAGTAATATTGCTAATAAACTTAAAAAGCAAACAATAATTATATTGTTCACAATGTATTAGCAATACAATTGATAATGTAGACGATGTTCAAATTTTTCTAATAACAGTTATGACTTGCGTTTGAAATGTAATATCGTGTTGAAAGATATATTTTGTCGATATAAAAATTAAAGTACTGTTTTTTTAGTATCGTCTACAATAGCCGTTGGATGGATGTTAACCGTAGCTAAAAATATCTATTTGTTATCAAGAATTATATTTCACTAATAAGATAACGAATACAAAGTATGAAAAAATTGTTACTTATACGTTGATAGCATCAGCTGACTCAGGCATTGATGGTGTTCGTTGTGATGATCTCATGCTAGTCATTTCCATTTGTACAGGATTTGGACGGAAACTGTTGCTATGCTGCCGATGGTGGATATGACGATCCTTCATGTTATCGACTGGATTAACAGTGGTTTGCATGCGGGATTTATCTTTATTATACGTGCTCATTACTGACGTCTTCGGTTTTGATCTCGAACAATCTGTGGCATTAATACCGTTTACATTACGTGACAGTCGAGAGTTTGAGTACTGATTACGATCAACTCTTGAAGGAATTGAGGAAAAAGTATCATCTTTACTATCAAAGTTGTCTTCAAGGCATGATTCATTACTTTCATAATAAGGTTGATTATATCCAGCTGAACTATACATGCCTTTAGGATAATTTCCATCATGCCTAGTGATCATAGATTGATCTGAATCAATGTCACTATGGCTATGAACTGAAGGATTTCCAAGTCCCATAGTCGATGATGCTCTATTGGAATTATTATTATGCGAGATTGAATCCAATGAATGACCGTAATATTCGTTACTTGGATTAATTGATGAATGATTGGATGCTTCTGATAATTCTTCATCACTGTCTTTAAAATGTTGTTCAGTTAAAGGTTGATTTCTAATTGAATTACTTAACCTATTCGATGTGGGACGATAGTTTTTGTGATAGCTAGAACGATGTGGATGCATATGATCTTGGTGTTGCATTGATAGTGGCCGATGATGATTGTTAATATCGCGACTACTATCCGTTATAATTCCGCTTAGGTCTATTTGACTATCCATTGTCGATATCGGTGATGCTATATTAGTCGATGATGGAGGTAAAGGTGACATCATATGTGAAAGATTATTTGAATGAATCAGTGATTGATAGGCATCCGAGTTGTAATTTATCCTTGGAGGATTAGGGCTACTCGATTCAGTCTTTGGAGACTTTTTATCTTTTAAACTTAACTTATGACCGCCTTTGAGATCAATATCTTCGATATTGTCCGTATCAGTTTTTGTTGAAGCGATATCGTCCACTATATCCTTAACTGAATTATAATTAGGTTCAAATTTGCTGGGGTTAAAATCACCCTGCAATAACTCTTTCTTGCTAATCATGTCATTAGTGTATTCATAATGCCATTTTCGTGGTTTTGTAGTTGACTTTATTGATGTGCCACCATCGTCGTCATAATCATTTTCTTCTAAACTATCAATAGCTAGGCTTGTCGTGCTAAAATCTAAATCTTGACCATCAAATTCACCACCTCCTTCAATAGTAAAATTATGAGTACTTCCAAGGTGTGGCAAACAACTTCTTAAATCAGCATCGGAATTATTTAATATTTGCCTACCAATATCTTCCAAATAATTAGGATTATTACCTAAAGGTAAGTTGATGTTATCTTGGCTATGATAGACTGTGTTTAAATCAGCAGGCAAACTTCGATGCATATCTGGTAAGCCGGTTTCTTCATCATAATCGGGTTCATTATCGATATCATGCAAGTGGCTTTCAGATGAACCTCGACCACTTGAAGATGAATCATTATTATAGCTTGCTCTATGTACTTGTGTTAATCCTCTTTCCAGTTGGCTACAATCAGAGCCATCTTGTGCAGCAGTATTATCGTGTCCTCGTAGATTCTGAGGACTATAGTTACTACTTTGAATCCCCTGATTATCGATGACGTTTGTGAAAGGTCCTTGAAGTGACTGATTCTTTCTTTTATTCCAATATTTTACTTTAATAACGATAAGCACAATAATTAGCATTGATACCAATAGGGCTACTCCTAAAGCTATGATAATGATTAATGTCTCTTGAGACATATTTGTCGGACACTTGATACACGTAGCATTTATCTGGATGTCTACTTTTGTGATATCATAAATTGTTGAATTAAAACTTGGTCCAGCTCTAATGTACATGCGCTGGTCACTTTGTGGATATTCTCCAGTTCGATTCAGTATAATTTGTCCAGAAGTAGAATTTAGCAAGTAACCGATACGGTCACTTGTTGGCATAAAAAAATAATAAATTTCACTACCTCGACCAGCATCGAAGTCATGAGCAATTACTTTTCCCACGATATCTCCATTTGAAAAATTAGATAGCACATGAAATAGATACGATGACTGTTCAAATTTGGGTGGAAATTCATTTTCTCCTGTAATTGTAACAATGACTGGCACAATCGCTCGATTAGGTGGAACGTAATTATCTTCAGCTTCAACTTGGAAGTAATATTTTTCTTGTTTTTCTGTATCTACTTCTTTTGCTAGTGCAATAATACCGGTTAATGAATGAATTTGAAAATAAGTGTCATCTGATGGATGTGATGGATTGGCGATCAATTTATAGGTTATTTTATCCGCAGTAGAACTATTGGCATCGATAGTCATCACCGTTGATCCAATTCGGCTATTTTCCGCAATACTTCCAAAATATTGTTGTTGACTAAATCTTGGTGCTTGTGGGCTTTTAGATATCGTGATGGTCACTAATGTTGTACTGTTTCTTGTACCAATAGCTGCGCCATCGCTAGCTAATATTGTTAAATTATAGACACCAATATCTTGCTGATTTAGGATTCGACTAACAGTAACAATTCCTGTCGTTGGTTGTATTTGAAAGAGTTTTTTGTTATTACCAGAGATAATAGAATACTTAACTTGACCATTTGCTCCGTGATCTTGATCATTGGCATGCAATTTAATAACAATGTCAGTCTTGTTAGCATCTAAGGTAACCAGTGCTTGATATTGGCTAACATTAAATTTTGGAGCGTGGCTATTTGCGTCATCCAAATAAATTTCAGCTGTAACATAACCTGATTGTGGTACTGTACCTTGATCTCGTGCTTGTAAGGTTAGTACAAATAAGCGGTCGTTTTGACCGTTAACATTTAACCGTTTTATATTTTTAATTATACCTGATATATTATTCATTTCAAATAATCCATAATTATTACCAGAAATAATGCTATATGTGATAATAGAATTACGCCGTGAACGATCTAGATCAGTAGCATGAACTTGTAATATTTCAGTTCCAATAGGTACATTTTCTGGTACATGTTGTATGTATTTATTTTTATCAAACACAGGTGCTTTATCATTGACATCAGTAATTTGTATACGAACAGGCACTAATGCAATTAATTGAGGAAAGCCATTATCACGTGCTGTAATTACTAATTGGATGATTGGCATGTTAGGATTATATTCAATAGTTCGATCGGTATAAATCGTTCCTGTTGTTGAATTAATATAAAATTGATTTGTAGACGTGATTTCAATGGAGTAAACTATTCTGCTATTGTCACCAGAATCTTGATCGGTAGCATGGACAGTTACAACAGGCTGATGAGGTGGTGAAAATTCTTGTAAAGTTGCTTCATAAGTTGGTTTATCAAACACTGGTGCATTATCATTGTAATCCAAAACATTAACAATGAGTATTGTTTGCGCTTTCTGTATTTGATCCGTTGCTTGTACAATAAGTTCATAGCTGGTAATTCTTTCGTAATCTAAGCGTCTGGCTAAAGTTATTAAGCCGCGAAATGAATCGATGCTAAACGTATCATTACCATTGCCATTCGGCTTAAAGCTATAAGTTATATTGGATCGTACATCAGAGTCCGACGCTGTGACAAGGGTAATAATAGTTCCAACTTGTGTATTTTCAGAGATGTTGACTGGTGGAACATAATGAAATAATGGTGGACTATCATTCATATCAATCACGGAAATCCTAACTGAACAGGTACTGTAGAGCGTTGTATCGTTATAGTCATAAGCTTTTACAATTAAATCGAACGATGGATATTTTTCGTAATCTAAATTTTTCATCGTATATAACTGGCCACTACGTTCAGAAATGCCAAACGTCTGACCTAAATTCCCAGCAACGATCTCGTAACGGATTAAAGCAAATTCATTAGAATCACGATCAGTGGCGACTATCGGATAAATAGCCATACCGGCTCGTGTAGATTCATCGATAGTTAAATGATAATACTCATGCTTAAATCGTGGCCGATTATCGTTAACATCGGTTAAATTAATTTGCAAGGTTAGATACCCATTAACAATGGATGGCGAATTAATACTAGCCACAATAATTAAATTAAAAGATTTGTTAATTTCATAATCAAGTTGCTTGCTATCAGCAACCGTAACATCCCCTGTAATAGCATTAATTGCAAACGCATTACCAGTATTGCCACTAGTAATACTATACGTTACGCTATTGCTGTTCACATTACTAGTTTGAACTTTAGTGATAAAAGTACTGCTTGGAGAATTTTCTGGTACAGTTGTGCTTATAACGTTGGGATTAAATTGTGGTTTGTTAAGTGCAAAATTGCCAACATTAACTTCAACGTAGCCTGTACCACGTAGTGCAGGATTACCGTGATCGGTTGCAATTAATCTTAACGTATATCGATAATTAGGCCTATCACCAAGTGAAGCAATAGTTTTAATAACTCCAGTGGATGAATTAATTGAAAATCTTGAAGTTGATACATCAAATGAGTAACTAATTTGACCATTCGAACCAAAATCATTGTCAATTGCCTGTACGCTTATAATGGAAGTTTGTGGGCTAGTTGATGACGAAATGTTAACCACATAAGGAACTTGAGTAAAGGTAGGTATAACGTCGTTAATATCAGTAACTCTGACATCAACACTAACTATTGCTGTTCGAATTCCAAATGGTGACATATCGCTAGCATTGACCAGAAAATTATAGCTAAATCGTGAAAAAACATAAAATGCAGATATGAGTCAACGCTTAACATATAAAGCAAATATATAGAATTAAAATAAGACTAAAGTGATCTCTGTTGACTGTCGACCTAATACTAATGTTTCATACTAAAGACCATTTTTACATCAGAAAATTTTCCTTCTTATATAATTCTAATCCTATCATATCGTATTAGCGTTATAGGTCATAAAGTGAAATTACAGTGCAGATACTATTTTCTTTCTAAAAATTGGTCATTTACTCGTATAAAGAATAAGTAGCAATTGCATAACAGACAGGTATCCTCAGATCACAGAGAAAGTTTCATTAAAGCTAAGAAAAGACTATTGTCTAGGTTTATCAATCACGGCATATTATCTAGCTTACGAAGAACTATTTAATAGCTGACCATAAAATTTAAATATTTAAGTCGGGTAAGGTAGATAAAGAAAGTAAAAGAATTTATTTCTATTTATGCTGGCTGACCTTGCTATAGTTTCTCGATCTAATCTTGCAGCGGTTGCAATGCGCCCAGTAACAGGATTAATGGTAAATGCTTTATGGACATTATCGGTACCAATAATTGAATAACGTATAATTTGGTTTGGTCCACTATCGGCATCGGTAGCGTAGACAGTGGTAACCGTTGTATTTATGGCTACGGATTCAGCAATAGATGCGCTGTATCTTGTCTGATTAAATTTAGGATCATGGTCATTTTGATCAGTAACAATAACAGTAACTTTGGTTGTAGAATTTAGAGATGGACTACCGTTATCTTTAGCCATGACAGTTAATTGATACTGAGCGATACGTTCACGATTTAAAGATTTAGTTGTTGACAACTCGCCAGTTTGAGGATTGATTAAAAAACTGTTATCCACATTACCAGATACGATACTATACGTAATTCGACTATTGCTATCTTTATCCTTATCGACGGCGATAATACGATCCACTTTTGTGGGTGGAAAATTTTCAGGAATATAAAAAGTATGGCTTTGATTGCTGAATTGCGGTGGATTATCATTAATATCTAAGACTGTGATAACAACTTGTGTTGAGCTATATTTCGACGGTAATGCATTATCATGAGCATCAACAGTCAAAATGTATTGTGGATGTTGTTCACGATCCAAATATTTTGCAGTTGTAATACGACCAGCCTGACTATCGATCTTGAATGTATCATTAGCAATACCGGATGGTATACTGTAAGTAATTTTACCATATTTACCAGTATCTCGATCATAAGCAGCTACGCTTGCAATAAATGTATTTAATGGAACATTCTCGTTAATAGATGCTGTATAGATTGTTTTATTAAAGGTAGGTGCATGATCATTGACATCAACAACGTAAACTGTTAATTTCATGTAAGAGGATCTCCTTGGAATACCTTTGTCGGTAGCCGAAATATTAAGTGCATATTGCTTCTTACGTTCATAATCTAATTTGGAAGCAATGGATAATACACCATTATCAACGTCAAGAGCAAATTTACCCTCATTATCGCCTTCTACGATGTGATATTCGATGTTGTTATTTTGACGTGAATCATCATCGACAGCTATAATTTGTGCAATAGTTGTACCAACACTTTCGTCTTCGTTGACAGCTTGAATATGACTTGTGCCGATAAATCGTGGCGCATTATCATTTTGATCAGCTACCCATATTACAACATTAACTAAGCTAGTTTTCCTTTCAGAAATATTGACTGCTTGATCAGTAGCACTCGCAATAAGGTCATACTTGTAAACATTTTCATGATCAATAGCAGCAGCAGTATAAATGCAACCAGTAGTAGCATTCATGATGAAATGGCCGGTAACTGGTAAAACATTAACTATACCATAGCGAACTTTACCATTTTGGCCTAAATCTTTATCACTGGCATTAACGCAATTGACTTTAGAACCTAAAGGAGAATTTTCGGTTATACCAAAGTAGTAAGCACTTCGATCAAATGCTGGAGCATTATCGTTGACATTGATAATTTGTATGGTAACTTCTACTACATCAGGTCTTGTATTTTTAATAGCATGACCTCGAACGTGATTTGTAGCCTAAAGGAGAAAAAAATAGTTTTTTTATATTTTTATAAACATAAGTAATGAACTAAAAATGTTATAGCGCTTTTATGTTTAACGTTGAACTGATACATGTTGCATAAATGAAAAGTATAATGAAGTTATTACAAGCTTTATATGATTTAGTAGTCGTAACGATCACGTATGTAGAAAAAAAATTTGATCATAGTAAGTAAATTCTTTCTTCAGGAGCCTCATAAAAATTGATAATATGAAAAGACTAGAGCTTAAGTTTTCTAATTTAATAGTAATATAATAACGACTATCTTCGAAGATGAAAATTGTGAAGAAGGATATTTACAATTTATCTCAATTAAATCACGTCTAAAACTCGAAATTACGCAATGGTAGTAAAACTTACCTCAACTAGCAGAGTATAACGTTGAATTAATTCATAATTTAATGGCTTAAGATTGATGATCTTTCCGTTCTCCCGGTCAATCATAAATGTATTCCCAACATTGCCACTTTGAATCAAATAAGAAATCTTACTAGCACTAACGTCAGCATCAGTAGCTTTAACTGTAACAATGGTAGTATTTAATGGGATATTTTCCTTAATTGCAATAGTAATTTCTTGCTTTGTAAAGGTAGGAATATTATCATCCACATCGGTAACATTTACTTGAACAGTACACCAATCCATTTTAGCGGTTGCGCCTTCATCGGTTGCAGTCACATTAAGTCTATAATATTGCCGTTTCTCAGCATCTAACGGACCATGGGTAGTAATTCTTCCAGTAGTTGCATTAATTATAAATGCGTTATTCGGATTGCCGTCAAGAATGGCATAAACAATTGATCCGCTTTTACCGATATCTTTGTCACTTGCTTGAACTTGTACAATCAATGTTCCAATTTCGACATTTTCAACAATACTGACAGGATAATTATGCTTTGCAAACACTGGTAGATAATTGTTAACCTCGCCAACATTAATGATAACTTCTGTGGTTGCATTACGAGGAGTAATTCCTTGATCTCGTGCTATTACGGTTAAATTAAAAATTGATTGTACAGTACGATCAAGTAATGTCTTAGTTGTAATGATACCGGTTACTGGATTGATGGAAAAATTAGTGGAGCTACCAGGTGCGCTAGCTTGCAAAAATTGATACGTAAGTTGAGCATTGAGACCAGTATCATCATCACGAGCATCAACATGTCCGACCCATGTGCCAATCGGTTGGCCTTGACTAACGCCAAAATTATAACTTATTTGTTGAAATTGAGGGCTATGATCGTTTTCATCCAAGACATGTATATCTAACGTTAAGATTGCTTGTCGTGGAGGATGGCCAGCATCTTGAGTTTTAACGAAAAGTGTATACGAAGATCGATTTTCATAATCTAACGATTTTTTGATGGTAATTCTGCCAGTGGTAGTATTAATATCGAAATGATTATTTTGTGTTACATTAACAAATGAGTATGATAACTGGCTATTTGTACCAGCGTCAGGATCAGTCGCTTTTACTTGATAAACTAATGTACCGGCGGTACTTGCTTCGCTAATATTGACACTAACGTGTGATTGTTTAAACTGTGGAGCATTATCATTATTATCTAAAATTTGAATCGTTAATAACATCCACGATAGAAATTTATCTTGGCTACGATCAGTGGCAGTAATATTGAGTGTTATAATATTCACCAATTCACGATCTAACGACTGCATTAAGGTAATATTACCATTTCGACTATCAATAGCAAAAGAATTGAAAAAATTCTCGACTATACCATAGGTAATTTGACCATTTTGGCCAGAATCTTTGTCATGAGCGATAGCCTGATATATAACAGTACCGATTGTCGTATTCTCGAATAGTTGAATAGCTTGATTTGATTTGTCAAATTGTGGATAGTTATCATTGATATCATTGACTTGAACTTGCGCTTGTGTTTGTCCAACAAGTGGTGGTAATCCACTATCTTTGGCATTAATTGTTAGTGTCAATTGAGATACTGTTTCACGATCGATTGCTTTCTGTGTTGTAATATAGCCAGTTTGATTAATCTGAAGTAAGTGTTGTGGATCGCCTTGGCTAATCGAATATCGTATTTGGCCAGTGGTACCTTGTTCACTAGTTTTTGCACTGACAATACCAACAATACTACCGATTGGTTGATTTTCCGTGATTGTAAAATTATATAACGGATAATCAAATACAGGCGGTTGTTCATATGGACCTACAATACTAATGCTAACATTGGCAGACTGATTGGATTGCAAGTTACCATTATCGATTGCTTGAACCAATAATACAGTGTAGTTTATTTGTGTATGGTTAATCTTACGTTCTAAGAAAATTTGACCAGTAGTCGAATTCAGTCGAAAATGATCATCCAGGGGCGGTAGAAATTGATAGCGAATAATTGCATTATTACCTTGATCTTGATCGCTTGCACTAAGTGTACAGATTAATTGACCAATGGGTGCAATATCACGTAGGTTGATATTATAATGCAAAGGATTAAATATAGGCCGATTATCGTTAATATCATTGACTTGAATACGCACTTCAACTTGAGCACTTCGACCACCTTGATCTTGCGCTACCACATAAAATGTATAATTATTGATAGTTTCTCGATCCAATAATTGCACTGTACGTATAACACCATCGCTTTTACCGACAGTAAATACTGAGCTGCCTTGAAGTTGGCTCATAGAATAAGTGACTTGGTTGTCAACAGTGTCAGGATCGATAGCTTGGACAGTAATAACAGGTGTACCAATGGCTGCATTCTCGTCGACGTTGCCTGAATACGATTGAAATCGAAAGTATGGCGGATTATCATTGGCATCTAAAATGGTTATGTTGACATTGCAGGTACTAGTGTAGAGTCCATCGCTAGCTTGAATGATTAAATCAACCTTTTTAGTAACATCATAGTCCAATTGATCAACTGTTTTAATCATACCGGTAGTAGAATTGATAGCAAACCAATTAGAGTAAGCGCTAGTGACAATGGAATAAGTAATTTGAGCATTAGCACCTTGATCACGATCATTTGCTTTCACAGTCACTACTTTCGTACCAATAGGCACGGATTCATTGATACTGGTAGAATAAACGTTTGGATTAAAAACAGGTGAATTATCATTTGCATCTTGGACATGGATGGTTGCAACTTTACTTGTCGACAACGTTGGCTGATTTCGATAGTAGGCAGTAATATTTATAGTATAATTGGATTGAGTTTCGCGATCTAATAATTTTTGTAATACTACAAGCCAGCTGCGTGGTGATTCAGTAGTATTTAATTGGAAATAGCCCTGCCCGCCGGTTAAGGTTAAGATAACATCTTGATATTGGCTACTTGAATCAATTTGGGTAATATCAATTTTAATAACCTTAGTATTAACTTTAGCGTCTTCATTGACGTAAGCACCGCCACTATGATAGTAGGTTAGGGCAATAACTGGAGGCTTATCAATAATATTGATAACTTGAATTGTTGCAAAGCTTGTGGTTGGACTATCACCGGGATTATTAGCACCAATAGTTAAGCCATACGATGAACGGCTTTCATAATCTAATTGTCGTTGAACTTGAATTTGACCAGTTGTTGAATTGATACTAAATGCTTGACTAGATGGTTGACTTATTATACTATATAGAATTTTAGCATTGTTGCCAGCGTCGCGATCGCTAGCATAGACGCGTAGAACAACGGTACCGATGGTAGCATTTTCCACAACTTGACCATTATATTGGCTTTGATTAAAAGTTGGACGGTTATCGTTAGCATCGACAACAGTAACATTAACAATCATGGTATCTTTCAAGGATGGCTGGCCACCATCTTCAGCTTGAATAGTTAATTGATAAAATGGTAGATGCTCACGATCGAGTGGTTTTATAATCATCAAACTAACAAAGTCGAAATTAGTTGAAGTTGAACGTTGTACTTGAAGTGCAAACGCTTGATTTTTGTTACCACTTTGGATTGTATAACTTAATCTACCATTAGCGCCAGTATCAGGATCAGTAGCAGCATCGATTGCTTGTGTTGATCCATTAGGGGCAATCTCGGAAAATTGGATTGCTAATTGATGTCTTTGAAATACAGGTTGATTGTCGTTAACATCATTAACATGAACGGTGATAATAGCGGTCCGTGGACCAGGTGTAATGCTAGCGGTCATAATTAAACTTGTTTGTACTTCACGATCTAAAATTTGAGTAGTATAGATAATTCCTGTCGTCGAATTAATATTAAGTTGGCTACTGCCGGTTGATTTTGTATATCGAGGATCATTGAGATCGGTTTGCGTGATATTGCCAACTATTGTTCCAATTGATTGATTTTCTGCAATGTAAAATGTGTATCTTTGTATCGTACCTTGACCATTAGCAGTAGGTATCCAATTAGCCATCGATAACCATGCAATAAACAACATGGCTATAGTTATTGGACGATGATGGCTAATCATCTTTAGTCGATCAACATGGCCACTACAAGTTGCAGTAGCCATGTTGAGATGAAAGTAATTTGATGCGATTTTAATGTTTTTTTTGGGCTTGGTTACTCGATTACTGCACAATGATTAGTAGATTGAGTTATTGAAATATCAATCTATATTAGAGTACAGCAGGTAATAATGAATTACCGAGATATTGAGAATTGATTTAGTTGTAAAAAAGATTACGATAAAATAGTATTCTTTAAAATTACCTGTCTAGCGAAATTTTTAACGATGATTATAGTTCGACATTACATCTTGTCGTGAAAAGAATGTACTTTTTTGTTTCATGAAGAAATATCAAACTTGGACGCTATATTCTTTAATTAAGCAGCGCGGTTATGTGAAAAATTAAAATTTTGACGGGTAAAAATTTTCCATTGCCTATAAATTTTATCTTTATAAGATTAAGATGATTGAATAATAGGCAATTAGCTAATTAATAAGGCAGTGATTGACCACGACGACGCTGAATTTTCACGATAAAATAAAAAAAGGTAAGGTTTAAACCAAGTCGGGATTACCCAGAATATATAACCGCTTGTTATTAACTCAATAATGGGAAATGGCTCAAATTAATTGGTTCTAGTGTTGTAGAGAAGTGAATTCTCTATTTTTTTTTTCGACGTCTCGATATAAAAATAATTCTTTAATTCACTCCTTAACATTAATAGATATGCGAGTTTATTGATATAGACGATTGACCATCACCATATGCACAGTTATTTGAATACGGAAATCAAACATAATCATAGGCAGATTTCATGATTAAGATTGAAGTAACGCCGGTGGATAAGTAGAAGAATCGTAAAAGACAAAGTAAGAAAATAAGTAACAAGAATTAGCAAGTGTTTAATAGAAATCGATTGCAGGATTACTTTCTATTTGATCATAAAATAAAGTTGTTAATAATACATATAGCCAGTTTAAGCTATCGATGTGTGTGTGTGTGTGTGACGAAAGTCTCTCCTTGTATTAAATGCAAGTGTCCATTACAATATCGTAGACTAATCTATGAGGATGTCTTCTATCTAATCCAATTTGGGCTTCACTTTATAGTATTGTTACGTTATATATTTTATTTAGAATAGATTTTCAAATTTGTCACACGAATTAATCCTACAGTAAATAGTGTCATGGAGCGAACTGCGCGTATGACCACCTTTTCATCCTTATTCTCTACTAACCGACATAAAAGTTGCCGATTCTTACATTCTGGTGTAAAAAAAAATGAATTTTTTTAACCGTTACTTTATTAATGTGAGTTATTACTAAATGACAAGGTGGTGTCAGTGTCTACTTGCATGTCATGAAATCAAGTAAAAACTATCGATGGCAAAAAAAATAGAGAGGAAAAACTTTAAAGTTAAATTTATACTGAAAATAAAAAAAATGAGGTTGACTTTATACAATGGCGTCGACAAGGTTCGTGGTCATTGTTTAAGGCTTCAATTATATTAGTATGACTGGATAGTTACCGTTAAATTAAGTTAAATTGATTACCGTGTCGATCAATTTGGAGAATAGGAAAAGGAAGATTGGCAATCGATTGAAGACTAGACAGGTTTATAGATGGTGTGAAAAGATGATGGCAGTTGAAAATTTTGCATCATTTGCAAGTGATGCTTGTTATCCTACCCAATTCTAAGTTTATGCGTGTAATTAACAAAGCATAACAGGAAATATTAACTAAGTTTCAAATGAGTGCTTTTATGATGTTTGATACATGTTTGTACTGAACTGCAACATGCTCTTCACAACGATCAAGACTGGCTAGCTCTCCCATGGAAATTAATATTCAATTACTACCAAGTTCAATTCAATGATGCAATTAACGCGTGGTGATTTAGAAGTAGTTGCTAATCTACTTATTTTCTATTTCTTTTACCTAATTTTGAATCCAACTTTCTTCTTTCTCCTTCCCTCACTCTCTGTCTTGCTTAATAACAAGCGATGCAGTCAGAAGTAGCGTTCTTCAAAGACTCCAGTAATCTTCCCCTTTTGACTTTCAACGTAGTCAATTCACTATAGGGCTGGAAATTGTGTACACGTTGAGTGGGTGTTTTTACCATATCTATTGTTATCTAGTGCCTCTATTACCATATCTAGAAACTATTGTTTAGTAATTACGTTCAACAATACATAACTTTGATGACCACATGATCACATAATAATAGACACGTCGAAAAGCACGAAGAAAGGCACGATCGTGTACAGTACTGTACAGTTCAATACTATAGGAGTGTGTCAACGGGCGAAACCAAACCACACAGTGTACAGTGTACAGTTCTGTACTGTACATTGCGCAAAACCTTCCTTGTTACTTTATACTGTAGCAGTTGGCGTACTTTAATGAATGATTACGACTAAAGTAGACGTCTTAGTTGTATTTTAACGGCGGATTCGTCTACATGAACTCTTTCTCTATCGGCTGATATAAAACTTACTACAAGATCAAACTATTTTTATGTATTCGTTTCTACCAACATCCTTGATACTGTACGGTACACTGAGAGTACAGTGTACAGTACAGTACGGTCCACCTTGTACTGTACAGTAGTACTGTACTGTAGAACGTTCAGATTTTAAACTGCAGGAGTAAAGTGGCCGGTCAATGACCGGGTGACTGTATACAGTACTATATATCACTGCAGTCTGCTTGTGACATTGCAGCCTCAGTGGTATGCATTGGATGGCATTGTGCCAATAACTAGCGATCGTACCAGTGGGACATGACCAATGTCCAACTGGTCAACAACCAATTAGGACCGACGTAACTAAGCCTTGCCATCATCTCCTTTCCACTTTTTCCCAGCCGGTGGTATCCCACATGCAGGATCACAGCGCGTTCCATTCGTTCCTATTCATCCAATTGGAAATGTTTCGCTGAATCCACTCTAATGAATAGTACATATAAGTTGACTTTTGTCTCTTCTGTCAAGAAAAACAGGCATCGATTGATGGGCCTCTTAATTGATTAAAGTATTGTATCATGGACTGAAATGGAAGTGATTGCTCAACCGTTCGTTGTACTGTACACTAGTGTACACTGTACAGTAGACTCAGACAATCATGGACTACTCGATGCATTGTAGTTTAGTAGTCATTGATGGAATAATCTTCATCCATTGCAAGTCTTACACCAATGTGTGCAATCATCTAGTCTAAAATCACCGGCAATACCGGCATGACTCATGCACAAATAATTTCCTACGCGTTAAACTACCAGCTCAAGACAACGCTGCCAACATAACACAATAAATTAGCTGTACATATTATACTGTACGCTGCCGAGAAACTACTAACTTCACCATGATGCGATCAGGCACTACCACACCGCTACTTTCTAAAAAGCAAACACAGCCTTTAAACTGTATCGAACATACATAGATGCAAGTCCATCGATCTTGCATTCTCTCGTATTTATTTATTTATGGTGAAATATTCATGGGAGAGAGAGAAATATGTAGTGAAGCTTTGTTTCAACCACCATTATTGAGACTTACTTACTTTGTTTAATTCAATTTTGGTAAGTAAAGCGATCATTTAGAATCACACTTCGATTTGAAAGAACACAAGAGCAAGTCAATAAATTATTTTTGATCGTCATCTATTCAACATTTCATAAATTCCATCCATAGTGCTGACGACATGACTAAATCATTAAAATTATCACAGTTTGAAATCGCATGGCAGACAGGGCTGGATGTCGTCTATTTTGCAACAATGCATGACTCCGTTGGTGTCCTACATTCATGCACTTTGAAATCAACAATGCCAATCTTGCCCTAGCATTGAATATTTCCATTATTGCCCATGGACCAGAATAGCCAAATGGATCGCACAAACTGCTAAAATTACCAAACTAGGCCATAGAAGAGGATTCTAGTTTTACCCATTCAACATAGCTTGTCGATAAATCATTTATCCAACGATCGAGTGAGTCATTTCCAGCTTTCTTAACTTACTCAACTGTATTGGTTGACTCATTAATAAAATAAAATCGAAATTGACCCATAGATTACATCACTCCTAAATTCATAGGATATTTGTCATTGCCAAATTGACTCAATCTTAGCTACTACAACAATATTGATGCTTTCATTACTAATTAAGATCTCATATTTGCATTAATTAATAGACGTCCAAACGACTACAGCATTTGTACATTGATTGATAAAGCCCAAAAATAGACCTAGACCTGATAGAAGTAGTAGAGTCGTAGACTACCGGTATATCAAGTCATGAGAAGGTTGTTGCTTTCCAGGATACTTACCGGTATATGCGACTAATAGAAGCTGGTTACTGAT